ACCATCTCTAAAACATGACAAGTGAGACAAGCTCGCTGGCCTGTGAGCACCCTTTACGTTTGGGCGCTTCTGTTGGCTGACAGGTTTCTTTTGAATTCTGGTTAATATATGCGAGTCTCAGTGTGCCTGGACCAGGGGATGACAGTCACCACATGTTGCCAACATATCCCCCAGTCCCCAGCTCCAGTCCCCTCACAATCCACCGGAACAAACCCTGTCATGTCTTCCATTCTCACAGTATAGAACCAGACTATAGACTTTGAAAAACGGAATTAGCTACTTTCAGAATAACCCATCTAAACCCTGCCAGTATACCTGATTAGATCCCAAATAAATGAAATGATTGATGGTGCGCTGCCTAATAACCTGTCATCCTATTAAAGACTTTATCTGTGTGTAACCTACACAGGAAGTCAACAGGAAATCAGAATTGATGGCAACAGGAAACTGCAATGCATTTGATTAATTTTCTCTCAATATGTGCCCCACCCACCCACCCCTTTCAGAACTATCTATTGCTTGGGTCTGAGGCCATATTTGCTAATTGAGGGTTTTTTTTCATGATAACCAAAGATTCCTTATCCTTAGTAAACTGTGGGTTTGTCTATTGTTCTTTTCTTTTTTTTCTTTTGTTGTTTCTTGTGTTTAATGTGGACAATTGACCAAAATAAAGCGATTGATTGATTGATTGATTGACTCCTTATTTGTCATTATTTGTCACTGAGCTTCATGTTTCATGGCTTTAACCCTAAAGCCTGCTAGCCCCAGAAAATGACTGAGTTGGGCAAAAAAGTTTACCTGGCTTACGTCTCACCAGTAAAAATAAATGACACAAGTCTGGCTCCTCATTTTCATGAACTACTTTACCCGAAATGAGATAGGTTGACACACACTTGGATCTCTCAGTGTGGTGCACACTAAACAAAGTGGGGGCAGGAAGTATAACAGGTACCAGAACATATCAGGAGCCCGCTCGTTCAGTTGTGGGATGTTTTGAGTTTGCTAACAAGCATGGAATAAATTCATTATGACGACGTCACCCCTGCAAACATCTGGAAGTGGGACACGAACAAACAACCTGCCGCCAACAGAAATCTAATAATGTGTCATTTGATGAGCAGGTGGAGTCGAGTATCTGCTAGAACATGGTGGTTCTGCTCTCAGTTCAAGTTGAAATGCTGATTCTTTCTGCACTACAGTACTTTCAACATTCTGTTAAATATTTCATCGCTCAAAATGAATGAATAAATGATCACTAAAATAAAATAATTACATCCATATCAAACAGAATCAAAGGACGGACATTTTCAGTCCAAACTAATCCAATCTTGTTTTATCCTTTATGGGCAGATTAAAGCCAGAAACAAAACCTAATCTCTAAAAAAACTCATAAACATCACTGTGAGGTGGCAATTTCAGAATTACTGATAAATTAAAGGGAGAATTTCTGGGCTTCAGCGGATTGGAGTTTTCTACCACCTGCATCTTCCATTCCTTTATACCATTTGTGTAGTTTTGTTCCATTATTAACACATTATACCATTCTTTTAGCTTTTATACCATTTCTCCCCTTATCTCAGAATGACCTACTTTTGTGAGTGATGCAGCCAGTTTTGTAAAAGCACAATATCCGTAACATTCACTCGGACAGTATTAAACACTTGCAACTGGGCAGTTACAGTCTACGTTTGAGTATTTTGCTATTTCCCTCTTTCACTTTACTAATATTCCATTGAAACACATTTGAAGATGTTAAACAATAAATACGTAATAGACATAATAATGATATGATCGTCTAAAATCTCAACTAAAAAGTGTCTGTCTTCTCTTTCATCGCTGATAAAAGCTGTAGCCGTGGTAAAAAGCCATCTGACAGGCTTTTAAAGGGTTAGCTTTTGGTGTTCATTGCAAGAAAAAGATGAAGTGATTCTCCAAATTAAAATCTAAGACGACTGGGAATACTGGGTCCTTGAGAAATAGATGGGCATAAAATTGCGCAACGTCGTTTCCACAGCATGACAGCAACCGAGAAACAATGGACTAAACAAAACAAGAGCAGGTTTCAGCAGAGAGCAATAAAAAAAGAGACGAAACGGGATCCTGCCAGACGAACATAAAAAAAATCGAACCGACAAGTTTGCACAGCAGAGAGAAAGCGCATCTGTCATATATGACAAACTTTAGTTTTGGCCTGAGCACATCTATGACTCACTGACTCATGCATGTCCACAACATACTCTGCCATCAAGCGTGCTTTTATCTACGATGGCGCCTTCAAAATGGATTTTATCGCTCAGATCCATGTGATTTCTTCAGGTGTGATGTGCTTATTGCTTTGGTCTGGAGCTAAACCCGCTCCATTACAGGACCCAGTTAGCATTTTGTTTAGTCTGTTTGGGTTTTCCAGTTATTCCATTGGTTTGTCTTTGTATTAGTGTCATCCAACGCTGCTGGTTTTCTTCCCCAGGAAACCTTTTTTTAATTGAATCTGTATGAATTGGACTACTTTGGAACTTATTCAACTTGAAATGACTGGATGATGAGTGTGTTACAAAGAAGTGAGTACATGACAACTTAGCATTATCGCTTGAAACAGAGCAAATCATTACTGCTGGTCTGTGATTGGTCAAATCTGACCAGGCTCCCGTTACCCCCCCCCCACACACACACACACACAAACACACACACACAGTGCCAAACACCCTCCTGCTCTGCTGTCCATCCACAGTTGAGGCTGCAGAAAGAGAAAGTCACACGAGAGATTAGGGTTAGGGTTAGGGTTAGGGTTAGGGTTAGGGCCAGCTTCAGCCTCTAACACTTTCTTTACATTTATTAGCTTTTTAAAAATGAATTTTCAAGCTTAGCTCTGTTGTTGGAAGGACCGTAACCATAATGATGATAATAACAATCATCATCTTCATCATTATCATAATAATAATGATGATAAGGGCGTACTGGAGGGAAAATTACTTAGAAATAATGTGGAAAAGTTTTAAGCTCTGATAAGAACAAAGAAAGGAATGAGAGTTACATTCTTTTTCCACTTTGACGTGGCTGGAAGCACAGCTCTTTACTCAGCTTTAGGACGGACAAAGGCTGTGGACAGAGGGCAAACAGCACCCCAGATGTTGAGCTGGTGGCTGTGAGTCTTAATTGACAGCTTTAAGATCTGGCCTTTTGAAACAAATTTACCTTTAGGTAACACCATGGCAACGTATGTTGAAAACTAGCTGATTCCCACGTATGCAAAAGCAAAAGTATGCCAACCAATCCATTTTTAGTAAAATACTAAACAATGGAAGACCTTTAACAAGAGCCATTTTAAGTATCGATATCTCTGTGTGGCCCCAGGTGATTGGTCACTCTTTTCACAACCCACATTTCCAGATCTGAACCATTCTGTTGGCTCCCTGAGTTGAAAAAGCAGAATCTGGTTAACACTAAGTGTCTGGTCAGCTAAACCAGATCACCAGAACCGTGAGACTGATCCAAACTTACAGATGACCAGATTACTCCTCTAACTCCACGACTTACATCAAACTATCAAAGCAGCATACCCCAGGGTAGATAAAGTTCATGATACAGGGTGCTGTGGTTCCTTGGAATAAAGCAAGCTTGGCTGGAATATTTCCAATTGAAACGGGAAAAGAACTACCAAATACTATCTTGCATTGCATGCATTATTTTGCTCACATTCACATGCTCTACATGCACATTGTCTCCATTCAGTGAAAATCAAATGTAGCTATCCATGGCATGTCATTTGGAGTAAGGAGTGAATTTAGGGTGCAAATTTAAACTGCCAACAGAACTGACTGCATTCCCATCAGGTTCCAATAGGAAACGGGTACCTGTAAGCTCATTTGAACTATGACAACCACAAGGGGCACATCTCACCCTCTCATCCCCCTAACATGCATCCCCGCTGAGGCCCAGGAGCACCTGCTCATGAAGTATACGCCCAATATCCTCCAATACTCAGCATGATAAACCACAACCTGCTCACACAAACATAGCTGCATTTTGAGTTCGGATCTTATAAAGAAGAAGAGGCTGGACTGAACAATGACGTCCTAAAGAAAGAGGAATAAATCCAGCAGAGAGCTGACAAGGAGCTGAGATCTGGACCTTCAGCTGACCAGCTCCTGGTGGCCTCAGCAGGAATGTTCTCCATGAAGGATAAGAAGTTCTGCCAGAGGAACCAGAAGTGGATGAACCCCAGCAGCTCTGATGGAGGGATGGATCCTCGGAGCTCCACATGATGAAGCAGAGTGGGATCATCTGACAGAAAACGGAGCCAAAGGCAGCAAAACATCCAGAGAAGAGCTCTGGGACGTCCTCCTATAAGCTGGAGACCTGCTCCTGGAGGATCCTTAAAGAAAGGAGCTGCTCCTGAAGAGCCTTCAGAGCTGAGTAGTTGAAAGAAGAAATAGATATGCCCACGTGTACACACACATATATGATTTGATTTTCTGATCCACTCTCCAATCTCAAGTTTGTTTTTACCTGCTGGTTAACTGTTAGATCATTCCCAAATTCATTTTCAAATTCTGGGATCAATAATCAACAACTTATCCTGTCTTACCTTATGTGCATTTCTGAACAGATCTTGATAATAATAATAATAATAATAATAATAATAATAATAATAATAATTATTATTATTATTATTATTATTATTATTATTATTATTTAAAATACTTTTTTAAAAATCAGAATCAGAATCAGAAATACTTTAATAATCCCGGAGGAAATTATTATTATTATTATCATTATTATCCTCTTAATAACAGTAACAATAATAATTATAATAATAATAACAATAAAATAAAAAATCTATATATAATAAAAAAATAAATAGAAATAAAATAAAATAAAAATGAAAATAAAAAAAAAATAAGAAATAAATAATAAATAATAATAATAATAATAATAATAATAATAATAATAATAATAATAATAATAATAATAATAATAATAATAATAAAAGGCTGCCTTACCTTCGGTGTCATGCATCTTCTGCAGGAGGTCTTCGGTGTATAAGGGGTTGTCATCTGTTATGAAATGAGTTTTGATATCATAGTCTGTCATCAGATGGTAGACTCCCTCTAAAGTGAAGAAGCAGTTGCGCTCCTCGTTGTCCTCCTCGTACACCAGCAGCGCGCTCTGCCACTGGAAGTGTCCGAACATGGCCGTGAACGTCTCGGCCATCTTCACGTAGGACGGGGCGATGCGGGTCAGGTGGGAGAACTCCGAGTCCTTTTTGGCAAAGGCCGTGGCCAGGGCACCTGCCGAGATGACGGGGACCCTCCAGTGGGACGCCAGCCTCACCACCCCCGCCGCCTCGTACTCGCGCACGGGACCCAGGATCAGGTCCGGCCTCCGCGCGCACGACCGGTCCACCAGCGTGAACAGAGCATCGTTGGCCCTGTCGGAGCTCTCGAAGTGGAGGTGGAAGTTGAATCCTGAGTATTCTCCCCCGTCCTCCTTCAGCCGGAGCTGCGCGTAACGGATCGCCGGTGCCACTCTCGCGTAAGAGAACAGGAAAGAGTTGTTTAGCGGCAGAAACACCAACACCTCTACGTCCTCGGTGAGAGTGCGGGTCAGCACGGGGCTCAGGAGCATCCAGAAGAAGACGCAGAGTTGAATGAGCAGTGGCATGGTGTCAGTGTTCCAGTCCCACCTGACGTTGGTTCCACTGAGCAGCGCACCTCAAACTGAAGAGCCTCCAGAGGGAAATGCTTAAGAACAAATTGACTGGGATTGTCTTTGGAGGTGGAAAAAGTAGCTTTTTCTGCACTGAGGGGTCCCTCTCGGACTTGCTCAGGCCAACAGTTGTCTCGCGCGCGCCTCGCAGCTCCGTACAGCTCCGTCCAGCACACGCGCTGGCAGGAGCCCGGAGTTTTCAAGCATCTTTTTTTTCGGGATTATTCCTGCGTCATCGGAGCGCTGCCCACCTCCGTCTTAAAGCCACAGCGCCGCCGGGCTCACAATGAGCCGCTTCACCACAGCCGGGATCAATGGGCAGTGGGGAGGATTTCCCAAAATGCGCAACTTTAGTTTCTGTTTTCCAGAGACGCAGTCAGAGGTGGTTAACAATGGGGAGAAGATGGAAAGCGGAGAAAGGCCAGAGTCGTGGAGCCCCCCTGTGATAACTGTGATAACCCCGTTTCTGTTAAAATAAAGACACTGCCAAATCACAGGTTGATAGAAGAGCAGTTTGAGTCTAAAACCACCACAACAACATCCTGACTCCATCTACTCTGACTGTTTCAGACTGCTGTCTTTTACTTTATCCTCTGGCCTGGACTGATGTTTGTTGTGACGAGGAGCCTCTGAGGCTCATTTCACACATTTCTACTTTCTTATTTAACGATCTGTGGTCAAGTGAGAGGCAACAATTGCCCCGCATGAGTTCACTAACACAGCCAGTGTCAGGTCTGTGATCTTTAGGAGGATTCAGGTGCAGAGAGGGTTGTTTCCACAGGTTTATTTTGACACAAAAAAACACTCAAAAGAGTGGATTTCAGGACATGGTTCAAAACAAGGCAGTGACAAAACTATGAACAAAGTATCAAAGCAAGATTGAACACGACTGTGGCAAAACATGGCTATGGCACAAAAAAAAACAAGACTATGGCAAAAGTGCAAAAAATCGAAACCTTACATGACGTGGGACCAAGGACACAAAATCAGAAAGACGAAAACACATGAGGGAGGGGAACCCCAGGTGTACACAACAGGTGATCAAGACATGACACTGAGAATGGTAACAGTGATACAAATAACTTACTATTTTTTATCTAAACCATTTAAGCAAACATTTTATGAAGCGACAGGCAAGAGGAAGACCAGTACATTGTTGATATGTCTCATGTGTACAGAAACTTCAATATGAGGGACATTTAACCTCCTGAGACCCGAGCTTTTATTTGGCATGCATTTTAGCTTTTTTTTAAAGATACAGTATATGAGATACATATTTAATTAAATGTTTTTACAATTTTGTTCTGACAGTCCCATTGACTCATTTACAGTTTTTCTATTACACAATAAGAACATGATTGGATGGAAATGTATAAAACCATTTTACTTTAGATTTCAAACAGTGTCTGATAGCATCTGCTATGAGGTCAAGAGGTCAAAGCTGAAAGAAAAAAAGAAGTATCATGGTAAAGAGAGACAAAAATGCAACGTCCTCTTATGAGGACACAGGGTCTCGGGAAGTTAAGACACAAATAGTGTGAAAACTGACACATATAGAGTTGTGGAAACCAATAACTAACAAGAGGCCTATAACAAACACCATGAAAACCAGAAACTGGAACCCATTGATAAGTAACTCCAGAGTCTGTTATGTGATTAAAGCCGGTGGGCCGAGGGTACCTGGACAAGTGGACGTTCTCCTGTTCTGCTCCGTCTCGTGTCTGGTTTTTGGTTTCTAGTGTGTGTACATTGTCGCAAAAGCATGAAAGCATGGAGAAAATGAAGCCCAGAACCCCAGTCCCTTACCAAACTATATTTATTTATAATAGAATAAAGGGTAGAACAGAATAAGAAAACTAGCTCAAGCTGGTGTCGTGACGACTTTGTCTTAATTGGAAAATAAATGGACTTCTGGCACACATCTGAACATGATAAAAGGGGAATTTGGGTGTGGGGGGGGGTAAATCATGATCAATCCTGTCTGAAAAAGGAATTAGTAGACACATTTAATACATAAATATCTGAAAGCACTTACTGATGTCTTGTGCATGTGCTGTTGCGTACATGGTCGTGATAAAAGGGTCTCCACCCTCCATCCTCTTTCCATACCCATTTAATCCTGTGGGAGGGGGGGTCCACCCAGGGCTGGTCTCCGGTTCATCACAGAGCATGTCTGGGTTTTTCACTTTAGAAGACAAAATGAAACAACTGCCCCGTACAGCAGAGGGATTCAGGTTTCAGAGAGGGACTGTCCTCCATCCCGTCCCAGCTCTGCACTTTTCACGCCGCATTAACCAGTGTGACCAAAGACCCCCCCCCCCACCAATTCTCTGAGAAGACAGATTCTATTTGCCGGCAGCTTAAGTGGACTTTGCTGACGTTAGAGCCACTGCTCTCATTCCACTTAAAATCATTAGAAAATTACACGGAATGGTGAAGTATTATACTCAATGTGAAGCTCATTTGTGTGCTATCTTTACCAACACGTCAAATTACACCAATGAGCACAACTAGCAGATATTTTGCAATTATCCCCATTAGGCTGAACTCAGGACCTTGTTGTGTAATAACAGCTTTTAGTTGCGTATATATTCTCGTCTATGGGAGCCAGGGAGGTTTCAGGGCATGTGGTAAGTGCACAGAAACTGCAATTCAGCCCAGTTGGAGTGTTTTTGAATTCCCTTTCCAGTCTGTAGTGTTTTATTTACCATCGACGAAATGTTTTCATTTTCCCTCTGACAGAGTCTACTTTAAAACCACACCAAGGCCAACATGCATCTGAGTCACCAGATCTATAATGTGGTTAAAGTCGTCATATATGTTGGTATGACTTGAAATAACAGTTCATGATTGTTTTATGAGTGTTTATTGTGGTTTGCTGTGGCTGTCAGGGAAATGAAATGGATGAGTTTAATTTGTTTAATTAAAAACACGAACAATCGTCGGTTGGAAAATGACCATGTTCGGAACTAAGATACATGTCACCATGGTTTGTTTGAAACACAACATGCCACCACAGAGCACCACTGATTCATAGTAGGATTTAGCTTCATGGAAAGGGGCTGAAATACAGTCTCTTACATCCATCAAGTCTATCCTGCAGAGGCTTTCTCAGCCACTAGAGGCCATGTGTTCTCTGATCCTGGATGCCCCCCCCCCCCGACTGCTTAGACATCACCACAGAAAGCATGAGAAGGTAGGTTTTCAGTTATATAATGAACAAATTAAGCTTACCGTTTCCATTTGCCTCCTCACTTGATCATTTAAGGGTGCAGCTTGAAGACTATTTCAATGAATGTTTGTAAAAAAAAAAAAAGAAGCCAAGAACAAGACCATCCCAGGCAGGCCAGCTGAAAGGCGCATGGATATTTGATCAATTGTAGTTTATTTCAGTAGAATCTGAGCTTGTGGTAAAATATGACATCCATGTTTCTTCTCATTCATCAAGAGACGTCCAGCTCAAACAGTTTGACCCTCACAGCTCCAGACACTGCCAAGTGTTCACAGTTACTGACATCTGCTGGTCAGTTCCTGTACTCGGACTTCTTATTGTTACCTTTGAATATTTTTGATTGTACAATGTTTGAAACAGCCAGAAGGTTCTGGGTTCGAATCCCGGGGGAACCAGGACCTTTCTGTGGTGGGAGGGTTCTGGTTTTGGGTCCCCGGGGGAACCAGGACCTTTCTGGGTGGAGTCTGCATGTTCTCCTGTGTCTGTGGGTTCTCTCCGGGTTCTCCGGCTTCCTCCCACCCTCCAAAAACCTGCATCTTGGGTTGGATATTAAGATTCAACAGCTACAAAGGCATCAAGTACTCCCCTCTTCGTCAGCAGAGATGGTGTTATCTTTATCAGAAGTAAAAATAGGTCTTCAAAGAGAACAAGCGTGTTCCACAAAGTCCTAACAAGTGGAGCGATAGCTTTTAAATGACCTAAAAGACCTTAAAGGTGCCTTCACAGCCATTCCTTTTGACCTAAGATGAATTCCTTTTTACAGCTGCTTCAGTGTTGATAATGGTGATCTATATTTCATAGTTCATGGAAAAAAATGTGTCTAAACAGTTATTCCAAGCTAAAATCAGAAACACGTGGAAGTCTGAGAATAATTTTTCAATTTGACTTGAAATATGTAAACTCTAATAAAGATCATTAATTCTGAGCATACCAGAAAGGAACAGTCTGCATTTGATTTGGGAATATCCTTTAAACCCTAAAACTTCAATGAAATATATCCTGCTCTGGGTTAGTTTAAGCATAAATAGCTGAGTAACTGAAAATGTTTAGAATTAGAAAAAATTGAAACTCTTTTGGTTATTTGTAAAATACTTGAATGTGAAAAGAAGAGGTGACACAATTTAGTGTTTCCGTTTTTTTAATGTTTCAAATTCAAGTTGGGCACATATTTTAACAAAGTAATAATTTTAGAAAATATCAATGATGAAGAAGAATAAAGAATAATTTCCCTCTTTCAACACTATAAGCTTTATGTACCATTTTCATGAGGTTTTGTTCATTTGTTGATTGTTGCATACTTTTTTTTATTTACATTTAAAACTGTTCCAAGTCTTTACAAAACACGTACCAGAGAGAAAATAGTGTCACCTGTATCAGGACACCATATACATTTAGAAATGAATAATAATACAAAATAAACAAAAGTTTACAAAGACAGTTCAAATCACGAAAACGATCCAAATCTGGATCCAGTCTACTGTGGAGAGACCAAGCATCCACTATCTCCTACTCACCTGACGTCTGGTCGTCGAGGCAACAGGTCCAGGAGAAAAATGCAGACGTCCCCCTCCTCTGGACATTGTCCAGCTTCCACTGGGGGACTCCAAGTTATTCTTAATTCCAATGGGATGTACCAAAGGACCTCATTTCAGCCACTTGTATCTATAACCTGATTCTTTCAGTCACTTCCCAAATCTGTGACTATGGTTGAAGACTATGACAAAGTCAATCTAAAGCTTTGCCTCCTGGATCAGCTTCCTCACCATAACACCCTCATTTTAACTGATAAATCCCTAATTCATCAGGGCATCTTTCACTCTACAGTCACTCAAGAATAAGAATACTAGCCATCAAAATCACAAAAAATTCTTAGTTGAGAATGGCAGCACCGTCTGAGTCCAATACCAAATGTAAACTAGCCCAACCATGTGCCTAAAATGTGGAGTCTATGCTCTGTGATTACACAGGGTCAGTACAGGGGCACTACTTAGGCCTTTTCCAAATCCTCTAATCACTTATAAACCGGATGGTCAAACACCCATGACCCAATCAACTCAAGGTCTGTTCCACTGTTCCACACCCTGTGAGAAGACCACTGTTTCTCCTGGATCCCAGGCTCATCATCAGCAGCTCTAGCCACCCTGCATGCAATAACCTTTCCCAGCAAGAATGAGTAGTTTAAACTCCTCTAGTTGGAGTAGTTTTATGTCCCTTTAAATATAGCATCTATGAACCTGTTATTCCAAAGACAATGCCCCAGACCTTCATGTGACACTGAAGAGGAATGTTTAGCAGGACAGTCAGTCGTGTCCAGAGCCTCTACGGTTCTCTGGAGTCAAATGACCTGCACCAACCTGGCACGAAATGAACTGGATTGTATCTTTGAAGTGCCTAGAGACAACGTCTGCTGTGGTTTGGTACAATGTAAATAAAACTGAACTGAATTAAAACAGATTGAAACTTTGTAGCTACCAAAGCGACGTCTACCGTGGTGAAGGACGATTTCTTCCCCAAGTCCTCGGACTCTCCTGCCTAATCAACGGTGGACTTGCTGGTCAGATTGAGGAACTCGTCAAAGTACTCCTTCCTTTGCCCAATGATGTCCCTACTTTGGGTCAGCAGCTCTCCTGCCGGGCCAAGCACAACCCGGGATAGACACTGTTTTCCCTTTTCAACTAGCCTTTAGAACCTACTCCTTCAGCTTATCCTGAAGGAGTTGCCCTTTTGACTCTCCAGCCATGTGATTCTCTGGTCAATCAGCAGCTTGGAGCCTTTTGCTGGTCCAGCTCAGCCTATTTGGAGCTGTTCGAAGCCACCAACCCTTAATGGAGTGCAACTCACGCCCATGACCACCATGGTGATCGGTTAACGGCTCTGCCTGCCTTCCCTCGAGTGCTCAAGACTGATTATGTGATAGACAAGTCGATAATTAACCTTCTGACTAAAATGTCCAGTGGAGTGGACATATGTATGTATGACGTCTCTTAATGAAATGTTTGAGATGTGACATGTATTTTCTTTAAGGAGAAAACAGTCTAACAAAGAGATCTGTCTCCAGGACTTGGGGACCCAAACAAAATAAAATTAACTATCTGGTCTTGAACAGCAATTTTGGTAAAAATGTATCACAAGTTCATAATAGTTAGCCTGAACATCAAAAGAAAAGCAATGTAGTCCTTAGAAGTTATATCCTAAACATTCACAGGAGCAGCTTAGGAGTCATGTTGATTTGTGTTACGTGTTCATTACTGAGAAGGCTAATTATACGTTTCCAGTGGGTACGATCTCGAGCAATCTGGTGACAGAAGTGTGACTTAAAACTCCTGATGTGCTCCACAACCATGTTAGAACAGCACCTAAGAAGAGACTCGCTCTAGAAAATAGCTACTCATGTTCTCTGAAGCCAAAAACAGTGTGAGAGTAGCTGGTCTAGACAGTTTTCAGTTTGGTACAAGGAAGGTTAATGAGATAGAGAATAACTCAATGGTGTAACCCTATGCATTACCTACTTCAGCCACAAAAGATTCATTCCTAGAGAAACCCTGAGTGATGGACTGGAGACCTGGGCGTTGTCCATCAGAGATATGCTCCTCACAGTCCTCACTTCTCCAAATGACTATTAAGGCCTGCTTGGACAGCCTGGCTTGATGAAGGCAGGACATCACTTCTCCATGGCTTTTACCCTCCAGATTGGTGCCATTTATGGATAAAATGGTGTCTCCTCTTTTGATTGTGCCTTCAAGCCTCGCTGCACCTTTGGTGAAGACCCGATGAACCTGGACAGAAAAGTAGTATCTCACAGTATATATCCACATGCAGCATGTCACAGAGCTGTTTTTAGTTTGATTTTACAATCATCTGATGTGCACAAAACAAACTCCTGCGGCTTTCTCCCCGAAGAATCAAGAATGTGCCGATAGCTCAACTGATTATCTGATCGTTGATTTTCAGGAGAAACACCTAAATGAAGACATTTTTCAATCTAAAATTGGTGTAATGACTGTAATAGTAATGACTTACAATCCCCATACTACACAGAAATGTCATTTGAGATGTTAGGTAATCTCTCAACTGTGACTGGTACTTACAATGACTTTCTTCTGCTCGAGGTCTGCACCACCTGTGACACTGAAACCAAGCCCTGAGCCTTCTTCTTTACTCAGCACAACGAGAAGAATGTTCTTGTTAACCTGTAAAGTTGAACCAAACAGTGAAAGTGTAAAAACAAACCCAGAGAGTGTTGATGAACAGACAACTCAGGTCTGTCCCTTTTCCATTAAAAAGGGCCATATCTGACATGCAAAATGCTTCAACATTTTTACTTCTTATTTTTAACTTTGCAAAGCCAGAGAGAGTTGCGCTGACAATATTCAGATTTGAAAGCCATGTCAGTCTATTTCAGTAAATACTAGAATACCATTATACTCTTTTATGACAGCAGGAGGTCATCGGATGGACTTACAACATCTTGCAAACTATTTTGATAGGTTTGTCTCTCTGAAAATGCTTGAACCATTAGATTCTATTAACAAAATGTTGAATGCTGGTTTAGTTATTCTTCAGTCAGGCGACGTTACCTCTGAGAGGGCCTTTGTCTCCTCCAGGAGGCTCACCACATAGGACTTAATGGTCTGAGACGACAGTATTGTTTGCAGTTTACGCCAACTGTCAGGAGACGTATTCAGCTCATCTAATCTGCAGATAAAATTAGTCTTGGTCACTTTATCAATCTGGCAGTATGAATAATTAAAAAAGATGTGTCATAAAAATATGATACAGAACAATATCCTGCAATAATTTTAAAGCTTTATTTTATTTCTCGGTGACCTCACTTGGCCAATATAACCAGGGGAAACACGTGTATTGTGCTCTTCTTTGACATATGAACTTTAACTATTTTGGATTTGCTCTTAGTCCAGATATTTATTGGTGTTGGTAGAACTCAGCCGCTCCAACATGTAAACCATTTTCTGCTGCCATAGTTACGCATCAAAACAGATGTAAAAAAAAGACAAAGTTCTGTGTGAATTTTCTGACGTCCAAATGAGGATAGAAAATGTCTTCAAAATCTATTTTACACAAAAAAAGCCTGGTTGAAAATGTCAAGTCAGTATTAGTATTAGTATTAGTCAGTATTAGGAGAGTGTATATTTCTATAACAACACAACTATTATAGAAATATACACTCTCCTAATACTGAAAATGTTTTTTTAGAATCAGCCTCTTAGCAGGTCTTAAAATGAAGTAACACGCCTCAGAATAACAACTACACAACACATTACCCTGTGTGAAAAACAGCCTAGCCCATAATTCAGAACTTCGTAGAGCCGTCTTTAAGTTAGGACGACGTCAGGGTATAACCCTTCTCCTTCTTCACTAATGTCCTTCACTAAATAGCGCTCACGTCATCAGCCTGAGCCGGTTTGTACATCAGCAGATCCCAGTCAAAGGCTTCCCCACATCACATGTGGAATGACACTGGTGTTGCCTCCAATGTCTGTGTCGGTATACAAATGTGTAGTGAAAATGTAGAGAAAAAAGAATTGTGTTGCTTTTAACTGACACAAGGTGTGTGTGTGTGTGAGAGAGAAAGGGCAAAATTACAGTCTATTTCCCATCCTACAGCAGAGCTACCACTAGATGGAGCAGTGTTAAAACATGAGAGTGGGTAGGACATCCATCAGTCTAAGCGTCACTCTGAGTTTCTGCTCAGCCAGAAGGAGACAGAGATACAGGAAGATGAGGATTTGGCTGGGTTTAGGTGAGCTGCCTACCTGATGGAGCAGCCAGGCTGGTTGGTCTGCGGGGCACTCTGAGGAGTCTCGTCGGCATCGTAACCCATGACCCTGGACTCAGTCGCCCTGGCCGGCGCTGCAAACGGTGGAGAATGATTGGTCCCTCTGGTGCTTGCGGGAACAGTCAAAGGCGTTCCGGGATCCAGTTTCTTTCCAGCTCTCTCGTGTCCTCTGGTAGATTCCGCTGTGCATAGGTTTTCTAGTTCGGGCATGCTTAGGGCCCTGAGCTTGCGTAACCTGTTGGTGAGGAGTCTGCCGTGCTTCCGCCGCTGAACTGAAAAGCTCTGTGCCGTGCTGCCATCTGGGCTTAACAGATTTCCGGCCTCAGCGTAAATCCCACGGAGGTTTGAGCAGGGTGTGGCTGCAATTTGACAATCGTCATGAGATCGGATATTCATTTGCTTGCTTTTAGAGTCGACAGAGTTAACCAGTCCCATGTAACCGGCAATCCTTTGGTTAAGCGAGGCGGTGTGAGCCAGAGCGTAGGAATGAATGTCACTGCTTTTTGCCACAGGTTTGTCAAAGTAAGCCAGGCTTTCAAATGACTTGATCTTATGTCGAACAGAGAAGGGACTGTAGTCCCCGGATAACGCAATACTGGGAGAAAACAGCGATGCTAACCTTACAGTCTTCCTGCTTTTAGCCTCTTTAGCGTCTTTAGAAAGAAGTGTTCCATTAAATTTCATTACTGGGGATAAAATGTTAGAGGATGACGACAGCTTAAGTTCTATGTATGTGGTAGGGGGGTACGACTGGCACTGTGGGTTGGCTGCCGTTTTCGAACCTAATTGGATGTTCTTCTCCCTGGTCAGTCGTACTGTTTGTGATGTACTTCCTGAACATCCAGTCTCACCAGCAGTTTGCCACCTGTCACTTACGCTGGGTGATCCATGGTAACTCCTCACATCGGTGGGGTCACCAGCCGGGTTCAACAAGCTGCCCATGACTGTTTCTGGTAGAACGTCTGTTCCCTGCTTTGAGGAAAAATCTGAGTCTGGAGATAGTGGACTTCCACACGTAGACAGGTTTTGGTGAGGCTGGCTCGTCCTCTTTATGCTTAAGCCCATTAATTTAGCAGGAGCCCTTTCAGCCGGGAGTCTAACTTTGTTACTCCAGAGAGGACAGTCTGAATCGCTGGGCTGATTAAGACCACAGGTCTTTTTAAATAGAGAGTTCTCGTTGGGTTCCAGGACTTTCTGTTTGTTTGTCACTGGTGGTGAAACTCCTGTATCTGATCCGATACTTGAATTCAAGATCTCAGATCCAGTTGAAGGTGGATGGTCCTTCATATGCTTAGATGAATCTGAGTTCTGTAGACCATTAGCATGCATACTGGCGGTGGCACACTCAGAGATGATGTTGGTATCCGATTGAGAGCGTTGGATTTGGTGGCTGGGTGCTTGGCACGCATCAACCGTGGCACAGTTCTCTGTGAACGGTGGAGGCGATACAGGTCCTGTCCTGGAGGAAGACTCAGAAGGTGGCTGGGCAGAGGAAACCCCTTCTAACTGACAGAGCTCAGAATTTGGGGTTGTTGCATCTGGATTGTCTTTGTTTATTAATGCGAAAACCGGAGAAGATGTAGATAAACCGGAGACCTGATTCAGGCTCATTTGATTGCTGACACACTGAAACCGTCCACAAGCAAGAGATGGCTCAGGATCTTCATGTGAGGCCGACCCATTGAGAGCACCTTCAGCCAGGTTACTTAGCATTAGACAGCATTCAGTGTTAGCGTGACATTTTGAGCCATCAGGAATTTCTAGACCTCTTTCACTTTTTGCCTGTAAGGTGGGCGAATCAAGGGGACTGGTTTGGACCTGAAAGGAAAGGGTGGCCTCCTCAGACAGGGTTAAACCGGAGGATACCGGTTTATTAGATGATGATTTGCACGGGGGTTTCTCATGAGCAGGGTCATCACAACAGGTGCTCACTTCCGATAGAACATCCACGTTTGCGACAGGGATTTGCGAGGTGTGGTCTGGTTGTACCATCTCGTTGGAGTTCTCTTGGATTGCAGGTGCGTCATCAGATATCTCCTGAAGGGATTGGGCCGTGGTCACTCTGCTCTCACATGGCACTATCAAACTGGATGGTTCATCTACAACTGGGACAAGAAATAAAACAGAAAGCAGTTTAGTGTTAACTAAAAGCAAAGAAGGGATGATAAAGAAATGGTTTAATTTCCTAATGTACTTTTCACCCATGAAATACATGCCCAATAGAACTTGTGGAACAATGCATCAGTTTACTTTTCAGTAATGCTGTGAGCATCTGTTCTGTCTATTCTTCAACTAAGTCATTGGAGAGTAAATTACATAAACTGTAAAAACTCAATCCATAAAATTGGAGATAGAAGTGTGATAAACTCTGCATCTCATTGTGGGTTAAATGTGTTTTCATCAGCTATGTAACTAAGATTAATTAAGAAAAATCTTCCTGTAAAATATCTTAAAAAGCACCAGTCTTTTACACTGGAGATTCATTAAGTGAGAGCATGCTGTGGAACACTGACTAGACTCTGCACTGGAGTTTTGCTTCAGAGGTGCTTACCTTACAATCTTATAAGCAGCTACTAGAGTAGTATGTATACATCTATGGTTGTACAGACAGAGAATAACTGAGTGAGGATGCATTTTCATGTATTCCAAGCTGGTAAATTGATCTAAACTACAGACATTGCTGTGACATGTTCCCAAAGTCACCTATAAGTGAAATTACATCAAAAAGTGGACAAGTCATCCATCCATTCATTCATTCCCTTTTTACTACCCACTTAATCCAGTTCAGAGCTGTGGGGAGGCTATAATTCGATGAAAGGTGAGGTACACCCTGGATGGGTTTGCCAGTAGAACTTTATTCTTTTTATTCTTAGAAAAAAAATCTTTCTTTATCCATACTATACCATATTTCCATGTATGGTCACAGAAATGTTGTGTTTATCACATTTAAATGTCTTTAAATAATCTGTAATTGAGTCCCTATTTAGGGATAACTCAATAGTAATTGAAACCTAAATGTAAAAAATAATAGAAAATACAATCAGAAAGATGGTTCATCTCAGTGACCCTAAAACATATAACATCACAGCAATGTCGATGTTGGAATGAGCACCACACTAGAGGAAGAGATGAGCCCAGGTGAGACGGAGAGCATACGGGGATGGAAGGACAGGGGGAATCTATGACAGACAACTAAAAGCTACAATACAGTATACTGTATAGGATAATCACCATGGAGAGAAAGCCAGAGGCTTGCAGGCTGCTTTGGGGGAGGGAATGAGGGAGGGCTGATCCTACATCTTGGTCAGCATAAACGCGACAGACATGAAATGGTATTAAATGAAAATGAAATGAAAAAAATAGATACTTTAGAATTGCTAAGGGAAAATAAATATATAATGTAGCAGTTTGGGGTTATTTCCATTAGTTAATGACCAGTAACAATCATAGTGCTGTGTCATGAGCTATTGGTTATCATTATTGGGTATGATTGGTACATTTTTGGTAGCTTGGAGCTGGCAGGTATAACGCTCTGTGCTGACGTTTGCTGCAGAAAAACCTGAAGAAACCTCTGTCTGAAGGCCTTGTTGTTTCTCCACTTTGTTGAGAGGGGAGTGAACAGGTGGTGGTCTCCAGATCGGTTCCTGTCATGGAGCCAGCCGTCTGCATCAGTTCGTTTGCCTCTTTAACTGGGACGGAAACATCTTTGGCTTGAGGAGTGGTGGTGTAGTGGTTAGCATAGCTGCCTTCATAGCGGTTGACCTGGGTTCGATTCCCAGCCAATACAGCTCCTCCCTACCCTGTAAGTCGCTTTGGATAAAAGCGTCTGCCAAATGCATGAACATGAACATGAACATGATCCTGCTCCTCCTAAAATCCACAACCATCTCTTTTGTTTAAGATTAGGTGACTATCCTCCCACCATACCACTAAGGGACTGACTGTACTCAGCTTCTTGTCTACCACTGATTTACCAACATCTGTAAAGTCGTGTGTTTTGGCCTGTATTTTCTTCAGCGTCTTGTATAACGGTGCAGACCGGAGAATTTAACATCTCATACTGCTTAGTCCACATCAGAGAGGCTACTGATGCAGGTTTAGGTCTTTACCAAAAGAAATACACGGGGTCCTGAAAAGGTTCTCACATGTTTTTCTGTGAGCCAATAACGGGCTGCTGTGGAACTCCATAGCTGGTCTGCACGGGTCTTCGGGAGCCTCAAAGTCCCACATCTGGACCTGCAGCTTCGTTTTGATCAGGTTTCTCCAGCTGTGTCATTATTTCACGTTGCGTAAGGTGGTCTCTTCTGAGTGACCAATCAACAAGCGACGTTCTCTTTGTATGAACATGGTCGTTCCAGGGGGGTTTCTTTGTGTCTTTAAGGGTTTATGTGTATCGGAAACATGTCAGAGGCCCCTATGCTTTCAACCATCCCTCAAACGTACTGCTGACGAGACAGTGGTCACAAAAACAGGTTACAGAATTAGGATTTTATTAGAGCAGAGAGGCAGTCCGTGAGCAGTTTAAATCACCATCGGCTGACATGTAGTTTAAATGACCTAAACTTCAGTCACAAAAATGCAATATGCGAGTCTGCTTTAGGTCACGAGAGAAAGTGTACTTATCCAGCTTGAGAAGCTTGAATCTGTACAGATTTAAACATGTTTACAATCACTGTGACATTACCATAATATCATCATTTCTGCTGATTTGTAAATATGCTCTACATCCTATAATCCATCCAGAGGGCCTAAATAACCTGAAGGCTTCATCTTACCTGGGACTGATCTCCTGACCTCCAAGTCCAGAGCTAGGGGAAGATTTTGTAAGAGCTGACAGATTTCCTGATAGCTGAAGGAGCACACTAGCTTATCACAAATCTTGACAATCTCATCCCCGGGACAGAGCTTTCCCCTAGAATCCTAGAACAACGACAAAATGCATTAGATGAGATGAAAAACTTCCTGCTGTCACAAATGTTTCGAATGGCCAATCAGACATACCCGGTCTGGTGCACTGCCGGGTTTTATCCCGGCTACAACCACCTTCAGAGGGGATGACATAATCTCCAGGTCCAGTCCAAACGAATCCTCCTCACTTCTTCTCAGGGTCACACCCACAAGATCCCCAGCTTCTGCCTCCTCACACAGCTCTGGGCAAACCGAGCCTGCAGGGGCGCTTTGGTTTTTGTCACTCGGGGGGGAACTGGACAGGGCCGGGGTGGAGCTGTAGGGGGGGTCCCTGACCTCAGCGGGTCCAGAGTCCTCGTCCTCGCTCGGTTCCTCCTCCAAACGCGTCACCTGCCGCTGGCGGAGGAGGGGGCTCCGCGGGGCGGAGGGGGCGGGGCCGGGGGCGGGGCTGGGGGCGGAGCCTGAAGTGTCCGGCTCCCCGCCCCCACCGGGAACAACACCGCTCCGGTCCGGGGATAAAACGCAGACCGCCTCTCCCTCCGTGTCTGCCAAAGAGCGAGTACACGGATCACAGGTCTATTTCAGCCAAAACATTTACAGGAGACATATCATACCCTGTCACGGCCTTTTGAATTTTCTAAACCAAACTATCAATCCAAAAAAAAGGCAGTCGGTGGCAACAGGTGGGTTTTGATTTAGACGCACTTTCCTTATTTCTTTGTAAAATCATAAGAAAATAACAAACAAAATTCCATTATAACTTTGCTGCTAACAAAAAGTAACAAAGGTGATCCAAAAGGTGAAACAAAAGTATAGCGTGTCGTGTGGCGTGGTCAAAAAATCTTTGTGCCAAACCTCCTGTAACCACACCTGACATTTCCCCCCCCTGGCTGTTTTAAGTCTTCCAAATTAATGGGAGGAGCTTGGAAAATTACTAAATAAATCCCAACAATCAAACTAAAAATGGTTATTTGCAAATTAAACATTTCAACTACTTAAAATTAAACAGAACATGTGAATGATGAAAAGTTAACTTAAATGGCCACAACATACCCTATTTCAACAAGTTAAGCTAGTTCCCTGGTGTCCTAATGTGATGTCTGTGACAAGCTTTGGTCAGAATCCCATAAGGATGAAGCCCAATAGCAGTTCAGTCCCCCTGCCTAACCCTAACCCTAACCCTAACCCTAACCCTAACCTTAACCCTAACCCCAAACAGCCCCGTTCAGAGCGCTCGCTTTGGAGTGCCTGTCTCTTTAAATGCAAATGAGACACAGGCAATCCGCCCACTTCTTCAGGGAGGTGTGCCCACGTCGGCGCGCTAACGCTACCATGCTAACGCTACCATGCTAACGCTACCATGCTAACGCTACCATGCTAACGCTACCATGCTAACGCTACGTGCCAACGCTACCGTGCTAACGCTACTATGCTAACGCGACTATGCTAACGCTACTATGCTAACGCTACCATGCTAACGCTACCATGCAAATTCGACTAT